GGAAGGTTTCCAGATGGATATATGGAGCAAATCCATCTGGCGGAGTCAGGTTAGAGTTAATGCTGCCTTTCTTCCCTTGGGTGCTTCCTATTTCTGCTCACTGCTTTCCTCCGTTTTGAAAGAAAACTGCAGGTAGAACAGTCTACGCTCGTGTTTGCCTGTTTTCGAGTCCTCCTCCAATGACATTATTTGCTGACGTTAAATCAATACAGTACTAGAGTGCTTGAGAAAAAGTGTTGATACTCATGGTCAAATCGTTCAAACAACTACTCAGTTTAAAGTACTGAAGAACCTACTTTTGAAAATCCTTTTTAAAAGACCCGCCCTCTCTAATTATAAAAAAAAAATGCCCATGCACAACCCTGTACTCGCTTCTGAGAGAAAACGCCTATTAAAGGCATGCGAGAGCGTGCACCAGCCCATTTCTCCTCGTGCACGCTCTGTTGAAAAGTTGCTGTTCTAGTAGCACATACAAGCTTACTGTGTCCGAACGTCTGTCCTAACCCCTAAATCCCACAATCACTATATAGAGCGGGGACTATATAGTGAACTTTATAGTAAACTCAGTTAACTGACTGTTCGGACAGATGATCACTGCTTTTTGCTCCATTGGTCACGTAACTCCTCCTGCGCCATCTTTGTCATTAGTTGCCGCTGTCAGTTATAGACAGTCTATGCCGACAGTGGGCCGCTGTGACAGCAAATCCCATAATGCTTTGCAAGGAGAGCTCTCTGGGATTCTGAGATATATCTGCCTCTTCTGAGGCCTTTCTTTTCTTCTCATACACTTCGAAGACACTTTTTCACTTATGACCCTCGGCCATTTTCAAAGGACCGCTGTGAGAAAGGTGAGCTTCAATGACTGAAACCGTTGCTCAGCACAGATATACGCCTGAAAGTGCACATGCACAGAAAAAGATGGCTAACAGGACGAGCACGTAGGACGACCTTACGTAAACATATCACCAGAATGATTGACAATTAGGAGGACCACTTATTGAGATGATCCACCTGGAAATAAAAGATCGTCCTTTACACCTTTAAGCAATAAAAAGTATAAATTAAATATTGTAATATTAGTACAGTTCTGTATAATTTTAATAATTTTAAAGAACCTGTAACTTTCAGAAAACACCTGATATATTGATGAGTACAACCACCTGCTACAACTCGCTTCTCAATAAAACTGTAAACTACTAACAATATCTGAGTTTTCCCATGTGGAACGTCATTAAATCTCTAAAATGGTGGCATTCAAACTCTGTCCTCCGGTTCTCGTATCTAGAGGTAGTTACTGCAGAACCTCATCAGCATGTCAAAGTTTTGCATATACCTGCTCATGAGCTACTGTTCATCACAGGTATGTTGAAAAAGACAGATAGCCAAAACATCCAGGATGCCCGTTCTTAAGGATGAACTCTAGATTACAAAGCTAAGCTGACCCAAAAGGAATGAGTAACAACAAGAAATATAGTGCATTACTTATTTTAAAGTAAAGATCCTCTCAAACTTTACTCAAAGGAAAAGTCCAGTCATATATGAAATGATTCCATCCTGTTCAAT